AAGCTGAATCTCTATCACAGCTGCGTCCTCACAACTCTCCTGTATGGTTCAGAATGTTGGCGCTTAATGGAGAAGGATTTATCAAAACTCTCTACATTTCACACCAAGAGCCTTCGGCATATCCTACGCATCTTTTGGCCTAATGTCATCTCAAATAATGATCTCTTTGAACGGTGTGGAACTGAACCAAAGGCTACCATCCTGATGAGGAGACGTTGGAGGTGGATTGGCCTCGTCGCTCACCAAGAAGCCTCAATTGCGAAAACTGCTTTGCATTGGACGCCAGAAGGAAAACACAAGAGGGGCCGCCCTAAGATCACATGGCGGCGGACGTTGGAGAAGGAAATCAAGGAGATGGGGAAGACCTGGGAAGGCATCAAGTTTATGGCAAGGGACCGACAGATGTGGTGGGAACATATTGCTGCCCTACATGCCACTTAGGCGTAAAGGGCATGAGTGAGTGAGTGAGTGAGTGAGTGTGACTGTATCCTTGTTCGAATATTCTTTTCTCAAATTTTGCTATTTCCTACAACCAATATACTCATCCAAAATATGTTTATACCACTGAAATAAACATTATGGAACACTACTCCCTAAAAGAAAAAACAATACTAGGAAGGGCTGAATTGTAATTACCTGCTGAAAGGGATGCAAGGGCATTGAGCAACCTTGCCAAGTATTGTCTCACTACTTCACTTGGCGATGTCAAGAGTTCTAATGTTCCATTCTACAAAATAAAACATACCTTTCAGGAGTTATTCATTTCAAATGGCTGGGTAATTCCAATTGATTTTTCATAAACAAACACTCAGCTTTATTATGTTGTACTTCTTCGTCAAATACCTTCTCACTTTCCCTAGACCTTACTTTTGCAAACTGAAGTCTAGCTGAAGTATAGTCTTTTAACACTATTTTCATTTCCATGTACATAATAATATAAATCATTTTTATTATTTAAGTGACAGAATATACATATTACATTTTGATACTGCAAGTAATTATTGAGGATGCACTTGGGAGTTTGGAAAGTAACTCTTGTGTTTAGTATGAAGCGATTTTTCTTGACTTTTTAAAGACTAATCTTTGCATACAAGGCCTTACTCTTAGGTGACTCTCCAGGGAGCAGCCCAGCATATCATGGATAATGTAGCCATTTACAATGCTGTCTCGCTGTTCACCAACAGCTGCTTGGGTGAGATTCTACAGAAACAACACAAGAAAAAAGTTATTATTGAATAATTTAAGACTACCCCATAGCTACAACCATGGACAAATTGTGTTGGAAAATGCAAAAAACATAAACTCATAACCGTAATACCTAGAGAATAAGTGCCAGCACCCCCATTCCCCCTTCCAATGTTGGAAAATGGTGAAATGAAAACTTGTGTTAGATGAAAGTGTTTTGTCAACATTGCACAGGGGTGGGGAGGGGCAAAATGCGTAAAAAATGAATTTTTCCAACCCTTGTGACCAAGGTTGTCTGAGAGCTCGTAACTCTGTCAACGCCTTTTCACTTGACCAATCATGGCGATATTTGGCTTCTGTAACAGCCTGAAGCTAAATATGAATTAGGGGTTAAATGGAGATCATGTGATCAAGGGGTGATGTCACAATGACGTCAGTTAATTTCATGGAGCAGCATTAATGTGACATATAAGATATGCTGGCTTTTTGAAATTAATCGCAATTTTTTTTAACGCAATTCTCGCTAGAACACAATGAGTACATGTTGGTCTTTGTTTTCTTTTCAAAATCCGATGAGCTGCACAAATTTGCC